TTAAAATATTTACTGATGAAGATCAAAGAGCACAGCCTTCAGTATGGATTACATCTCAATGTAAAGAAAACAAAAATCCTCACCACTGGACCAATAAACATTCTTATTCAACGGAGAAAAGATTGAAGCTGTCAAGGACTTCATTTTTCTTGGATCAACTATCAACACTCATGGAAGCAGCAGTCAAGAAATCAAATGACGTATTGATATTAGGCAAATCTGCACAAGACCTTCTTCAAGTGTTGAAGAGCAAAAATGTCAGCTTGAGGACTAAAGTGTGCCTGACCCAAGCCATGGTATTTTCAATAACGTCATATGCATGTGAAAGCTGGACAGTGAATAAGGAAGACTGTAGAAGAATTGATGCTTTTGAGTTATGATATTGGAGGAGAATATTGAAAGTGTCATGGGCTGCTAAAAGAACCAATAGACCCGTTCTGGAAGAAGTGCAGCTAGAGTGCTCCTTGGAGGCTAAGATGGCCAAGCTTCGTCTCTCATACTTCAGACATATTGTCAGGAGGGACCATTCATTAGAGAAGGACATCTTGTTTGGTAAGGTGGAGGGTCAGAGAAAAAGAGGAAGACCCCCCCGCCCCAATGAGATGGATTAGCCAAGTGGCAGCACTGATGGACTCAAGCGTGGCAACAATAGTGAGGTTGGCCCAGGATTGGGCAGTGTTTCGTTCTGCTGTGCATAAGGTCGCTATAAGTCAGTACCGACTCAGTGGCACCTAACAACAACATCTTTCTTTGAATGCCAAAGAAAAATACTTAGACAATACTCTTGCTGATATAAATATGAAACTCCTCCCCCCCCCCCCACTTAGGGGTTACATACATGTCATAAAATTAGCGAATATGTCTTAAATGTATAGTTCAGTGCATTTTTACATATGTAAACTCACATAACTCTCACCCAGTTGATGTTCTGAAACATTTACAGTATCCTAGAAGGCTTCGTTGTGCCCCCTCCTGGTCAACACCTGCCACCAAAGAGAATTAATATTTGTCTTCTCCCAACTGCTATTATTTTTAACCCAAAACGAGACAGTTTTCACTCAAAAATGTCTTTACAATGAGCAATGTCACTACCGGTATAATTTTCCCTTTACTGTGCGTTAAGCAGTGGGTCGCGCTATGCTGCCCACATGCCTCCTTAGCTACTGGTAAAACTGATGTTCCTACTGGGTTCTCATTAATGTGGATCCGGATTTCTGCTTTGTGATGGAAAAGCTCAGCTGACTGACGACTGCTCTGCAGGCTGATGGAACAGAGGAATCCACACTCAAGAAAGCTGTGTGAGAACTGGGTTTGAATTCTTAAAATATGTGTGAACTTGGGCAAATTACTACTTGTAGGCTGTTTTCTCATGTCAAATGGGAATAAAACAATCTACCTTACAGTAAGGATCAGATGAACAAAGTACATAAAACTCATAATGTAGTGTCTGACGCACAGGAGGTGGCCAGTAAAGAAAACTCCCTACAGTTACCTGTACTGAGGCTAGACAGAGATGCTGTGGCCACAGGTTTCCGCTTCCTCTTAATGTCACGTGAGCACGGTGGTCCCAAGTGTATGTTTGCCTGTCTGCATATACAGGAAAGAAAAAAAAAAGTTTGAACTTTGTAATTTTTACCGTAAGACATTATGTTGAGTCAAGATGAAATCCTTACCCCATCGTAGACATTTACTAACATAAAGTGGGCACCATCTTTTGCTACCAAGTGTCAATACCAGGCTATTCAGAATTAGCATCAATCTTTACCCACAATCCATACCAACTCTAAACTTTTTACCTGATTGCTGAGGAGCAGACATTCAAGGATTTTATTAACCAAGGAAATTAATCAAGGATTAATTTCAATAAATATCTGTATCACTACATGCTGATTTCTAGACAATTATTTTTCATAAAAACTATAAGCACAATTGTTTTAAGCTCACTAATGAAATACCTACTCCCAAGTGGTAATATATTGGAAAGTTTAATGCTTCATGAACGCAGATATTTGCACAGAATTTTAATAGCAAGTTTAACCCTTTTATCACTAGCCGTCTGGACTTTTAATAGTGTCTATATCATAAGGTGGAGTCCTGGTGTGGCGCTGTGGGTTAATGCGCTGGACTGCAAGGTGGGTTTGAGCCACGAGGTCAGCGGTTCAAGCTCACCAGCCGCATCTTGGAAATCCTATACAAGGTCACTATGAGTCAGAACCAACTCAACAGCACTTAACAATAACATATAACAATATGTTATATGTTAACATATAACATAAAACAACAATTAACATATAAGGTACAGGAGCCCCGGTAGCTCAGTACTTAAGTATTCAGCTATTAACTGAAAGGTTGGTGGTTCAAATCCACTAGGCACTCTGCACGAGGATGATTTTGGCCTTGGGAACCCTCTGGGGCACTTCTACTCTGTCTGCGAGTGAGAACAGACTTCTCAGCAACAGATCTGAGCCATTTGGGGTACATCATAAATCAACCAAGTTTGGTTCCTGTGACTTTTTAAAACATTAATTATGTAAATCACAGACTCAAAGGAACAGTTAGTCCAAAGGACTACTGGAACACACAGACCACAGTCTCATGAAACCTAAAAGCAGAACTAGATGGTGCCCAGCTAGACCCCGACCAATCACTCTGATCCAGATCATAAAAGCTCCCAAAAAGGTTGTGGTGTTTGTGGTTTTGTGTTGTCAAGTCAGTTCCGACTCATAGCGACCCTGTACAGGGTTTCCAAGGCTGCAAATCCTTACAGAAGCAGAAAACCTGATATTTCTCCCATGGAGCAGCTGGTAGATTCAAACTGCTGATCTTATGGTTAGCAGCTCAACTCACAACCACTATGGAGAAAACAAATGCAGAACATTCAAGATCATAAAAGAACGCCACCTCGCTGGTCTTTTAGAGACTAAAGACACTCCCGAGACTATGGCACACGTCAAAGCTGGAGGTGAGCCCCCTTCTGGAGGTTACCTTTCAGGCAAGCAATAGGCAGGCCTGTAAGGGAACAATGACACCGTGTGGCACGTGCTCCTCACACCACCACCCACACAAGATCTGCCCACAAACAAGTTCAGAAGGTAGGAAGGGGCAGGAAAGATAGGCAAATGGAAACAGGAAACTCGAGGAAGAAATACAAAGAGTGCTGCTACTTTGAAGGGCCTGCGACTAATGTTAAAAACAATGTGAATGAATTACTGACTGGGAAATTAATGGGTTCTGTAAACTCTCACCCAAACCACAACACTGAAAAAAAAATGTGTACATACATAATGAGCCAAACTGAATCTTCAGTTTAATTTATAAACAAAACACTAAGGAGCTTTATAGCCAGAAAACACAAGAATTCTCTGCAAGATAATAAACTTAACACTGAAAAGGCTAGGAGGCTATTTTAATTTACTACTATCCTCCACATGTAAGTTGGACAGTACAGTGAATAAGAACATAGAAGACTTGATGCATTTGAGTTAAGGTGTTGAGGGAGAATTATGCAACTACCATGGACTGCCAAAAGAACAAACAGATCTGTATTAGAAGAAGTACAGTTAGAGTGCTGCTTGGAAGCCAGGATGGCCAAACTTCGTCTCTCATACTTCAGATATATTGTCAGGAGGAGGAGGGACCAGGACCTGGAGAAGGATATCATGTTGATAAAGCAGAGGGTCAGCAAAAAAAGAAGACCCACCCCCACACCCCAGTGAGATGGATTGGCACAGAGGCAGCAGCAATGGGCTCAAGTGTAGCAACGATTATGAGGTTGGCGCAGGACCGGGCCATGTTTCGATCTGTTATGCATAAGGTCACTATGAACTGGTACTGACTGAACAGCACCTAACAACAACAATCCTCCACTAAACTAGACAAGGCCAACCCTCAATTAAGACCAAAATAAGTCTCACCTCCTTTGCACTAAGCTCTCCATAAACAGTTGAGGCTTTACCTATCACAAATCATTTAAATGGCCAACGCAAACTAGTATACACATACATATCTTGCTTCCCTAATGAAGATCAACCTTCTGAAGAACAGGGACCATATTTACACTTCTTTCAATAATTTCCCAATGACCTACTACCAACCTCAACACAAGGCTAATCCCCAGAATCTAGCTGTTGACTAGGACTACTGTGAATAAATAAAAGTTCGAAATACCAAACAGTCAAAGTATATCACAGATACCTATTTTTTTTTAAATACAGTGAAATTATACAGATGAACTCTTAGACTCAAAATCTTTACACTAGAACTTCAGAGGGCCCCAACTGGGCAACTTCTACAGTTAAATAAAAAACAAAAGACACACACACATACACATTAATTTCTTGAAATGGCATAAACTTAAGAATCAATTCAAGAGAAAGATGAGAATTTTTCACATGCAAAGAATACTCCGATAGACAGAGATGTATATAATATGAAGCCTGTGGTATGGAAAATTCCATCCAGATCACCTTTATTGATCACTCTGCTCCCATGTGGAAAAGAGTTGAACTTTAAGTTAAACTGGAGAGTTAAAATGGAAACTTTCAAGTTAAATTCTTTTCTTGAATTGTAGAAGTCCGACTGGGGTCCTCTGAAAAGGACAATGTGTCCACTCAACAGCTGTGTGCTGCCTTACTGGCAACCAGGTTCTCCTAGGCTGGCTGACGGTCCAGTTTGAAGATGATTAAGTTATGAGTCTACGAGTTCATCTGTGTAATTTCACTCGATTTGGTTTTTAGAACTTTTATACATTCATAATAGTTCTAGTGTCTTTTTGGGTTGTATCCCATGGATAGTTAGTTCTGAAACTCCAATGCAAAATGAGGTGGAAAGTAAGGAAAACAGTTCTTTTTCATACCTTATGTAAAGCACAGGAGTTAAGCCCAAATCAGCATGCTGCTTTAATAAGAAGTAGCAGAGATGGTGGCAGGTCTCCACTCTGAATGGAGAAGTGGTAATTCCCTGAGAAGTCAAAGGCACAGGCAGAAAACAAGCAGCAACAATACCTAACTTTTTTTCTCCTCATCAAAACAGAGAAATGTACAGAATACACTGAACAGCTTCCAACCTTCCACAAATCAGGCACTTGAACACATACAGACCCCAACTCACCGCTCCAGGCCCTGTGATCTAATTCAGCCATGCTGATCCTAAAGTGCTTCAGAAAGAAACCCAAGTCAAACAAAGGCTAACAGCAACATCATTGTTTCTTCTCTCTTAAACACTTAAACTAATCTCTACAATTCACTGAATTAAACTGGTGGCTTCAAACTAATCTATGATATTAGATACCAGAACGGTTGTGTCCTGGGGATATGCTAAAAAAGGTAAGGAGAAAGAGGGGCTAAAAGACGCACCCAGAGTTTCTGAAGATGTCAGTAAATGTTTTCTTTCTTTATCTGGATGCTAGTTACCTGTATGTATATTATCTTTCAACAAAAACTTAATGAAGAAAATGCTCAAGATCAATTTTTATAGTAGGCTGAGTTTTATATGACAAGCAAAATGAAAAATACAAAGCAGAATGTGCCCAAATGGGTATTATGATATTAAATTCTCAGAGTATCAATGTCCTGGTGTGGCGCTGTGGGTTAATTGTGCCAGACTGCAAAGCCATTTGAACTGCAAGGTTGGCGGTTCAAGCTCACCAGCTACTCCTTGGAAACCCTATACAGGGTCGGAACCGACTCGACGGCATTTCACAACAACAAATAAATACTGCCTTTTATTTACACCTCAACCAGCCTTTTCCTAGCTTGATATATGTCAGTAAGATTGTTAAGGAGATATCATTTATATATCTATATCTATATCTATATCGATAGATAGATAGATAGATAAGGAACGATATTATCAGATAAGCAAAGCATTACTTAAAAAGAACAAAGTTGGAGGCCCCTCATTTTTTTATCTCAAAATCTACTAACTACACAGTCACAGTGGTCAAAACAGCCTGGTACAAAGATGGAGGCAGAGATGAGGACATGGAGAGAGACAGCAACTAAGGACTCTAGACTCAGGGAAAGAGAAAGGATGTGTGCTGGCGGATAGAAGGCTGGCTTGCAGAATGTGCCCTTTGGTAATTTAAATTATTATATATTCCTGAGTGTTTTTGTGTACATCACACACATACACTGAAAAAAAAAAAAAAAACACAGAGGGAAAAGAAGCAAATACTGTTAAAAGATGATGCTTGGAGGGGATTGTAGTCATTGCAATGAAACAAAATACAACAGGATGAGTACAAAACCGATGTTCTCCCATGTAAACTACCATTCAATTCACAATAAAAGCTTTAAAAAACACACACAACTTGGTACAACAAAAGTTACACAGATCAAAGGAGAATTGAGAACCTAAAAGTAAATTCATCCACATACAGTCAGCTGATCTTTGACAAAGGGCCCAAACACATTCAATGGGGAAGAGACAGTTTCTTCAACAACGGTGGCTGGCAAAACCAAAAATCCATTTGCAGAAAAATGAAACAAGACCCGTATCTCACACCATATAAAACGAGGATTAAAGATCTAATTGTAAAACTCAGAACTATAAAGATCATCAGTGAAAAACTACAGACAAACTTAGGG